GGTAATCTGAGAGCCAAGGATGACCAAAAGAAGACGAGTAAGGATCATGGGATAACAGAACGAACAAAACCAGCCAACAGATTATCAGCTAAATCTAATCAGTCACAAACCATAGATTTCGACAGCAGTGAGTCGGATAGAGGGAGACATAGTGGCAAAGGACAAGGAACAAGTACTAAACTCGATAAGGGACTTAGATCGTACTCAGACAAATCCAACCGTGGGATCGACGATCGGCAGCGTGACTGGCATCGTAACAGAAGGCAGGCCAACTATCGAGGAAGAAACGAGGGTAGGAGTTCCAGTAACGATAGTACCAGCGGATCGGACAGATACCGTAAAAGAATCAGCAGAGATTTTTGACAGTTTCGAAGGATTGAGCACTGGAAGCTCTCCTTTTCCGGGGACAACAGAACAGCATCCATAGAAAAATTCGTCTACAAGTTGAAGAAGATAGCAGAACAGAAGGAGTTTGTCAGCGGAGTTTACTTCGAGACATACACTTGATTCTGGAAGGTCAGGCCTTGGACTGGTTCTTTACATACGTGGACGAATTCGAGGATTGGGATGACTTCGAGGAGAAAATCAGGTTTCGGTTCGGGAATCCAAATCAGGATCAAGGAATTCGACAACGGATACACGAGCGGAAACAACACAAAGGTGAATCTTTAAGTGTATTAGTATCGGAAATAGAACGGCTTAACAAAATGCTATCAAAACCGCTTTCGAAACGACGGAAGTTCGAAGTTGTCTGGGAAAATATGCGCCCCCATTATTGCTCAAAAACCTCCATTATTCGAATACGAGACTTGGAACATCTAATCAAACTTAATCATCGGATTGATGCGGCTGATACCAGCTTCCAGCCACACCCAGAGATAAGGAATACGGAGCCTCGAAATCAAAGGAATATCCATCAGGTAGAATGTACATTAGAGTGATGCAAAATTTGAAATTTTCGCTCCACAACCTAACCTCTCAAAATTTGAACCAATTTGGTGAGAAACTGAGATGGCACAAACCATTTGAAGTTTGTATGGGAATTACTATGGTAAAACCAAGATTTTTGTTCATGTTTATCTAATAATTCACCATATCGGTCTGCTTCAAAAACTTTCAACTGTACTTGTAGGGAATTTTCCAAGCTACAACTTAGCTGAAGACCACTTTTTGATTAAATGCAAGAATCGAAAGTTATCAATGGTTCAATACGCTGATGTCTTGGCGTTGAATATGACACAAAAAATCATGGCTACTATGTCACACTGCAAAATACAGTGTTGCCTACAGAGCAGCTGCTTGATCATGTCATAAGTTTACCAATCTCTTAAATAATTTATAACTTTTTCCTGTGTCGTTTAACATGGAAACGATCTTGAGCAAAGTTGTAGCTGAGAAGATTTTCTATAAGAATGGTCATCGAACTGTTTTGCAGCTCAATTTGGAAAAACACTAGAAGGAAATGAACAAAAAGTTGAGATTTCCCATAGTAATTTACATGTAAACTTCAAATGGCTTGTGCGAAGTCTGTTTCTATCCAAATGAGTTGTAACTTTGGGAGACTGACCAGGACCCAATTTGAAACCATTTAAGCACTGTGGAGCGAAAAAGTCAAATTTTGCATCAGTCTAATGTACATCTTCCTTAGATGAATGCGAAGAACCAGAGGATATAGACGTGATCAAAACCAGACCAAACGTGGGAGGTCAGAGAACAAGCCAACGAAACCAACCGATGATGAGGAGGAATACAACAACGACGAATCAACAACAAACTGGACATTTGCAAGGGAACGTATGCTGGAACTGCAGGAAGGTTGGTCAGAACTGGCGGGATTTTAAGGAGCCCAGAGCAATCTTCTGCTACGGATGCGGCGAACTAGGTCGCACAGTCCGTTCATGTCAACGGTGCGTGGGATCAAGCCGCAGAAGGAGTGACCAGAACCAGGGAAACCAGTAAGGGGATGTACGTTGGGGACCCGCACATTCCGAAGGACGACAAGGTTCCCGAAGAATCAAACTTCGATCCAATTGACCGCATACACACCATTAACATTCAAACTAGAAGATGTCCCTACCTCAACGTAAAAGTATTTAATACAGAACTTACAGCTCTTCTGGACTCAGGGGCCGGAATAAGTGTTGTAAATTCTCTCGAGCTGTCGGAGAAGTATGGATTGAAACTTCAGCCAACTCGATTGAGAGTCTGTACAGCCGACAACACGGAATACAAATGTTTGGGGTACCTGAATATCCCTTATACCTACAAAGGTATTACAAGGGTAGTGCCAACAGTAGTTGTTCCGGAAATCGCGAAACCTATTATACTAGGCTGTAATTTCTGGCGAAGCTTTGGCATTACACCAATGGCTGACTTAGGTCATGGACCAAAACAAGTAGGTCAGTTCAGTGATGCGGATGAGATCCTCGCTTTTACTCTGGAACCTGTAGGAGAACTTCCAAAAATTCCAATCACGGGGAACGACACAACGTTGGACGTTCCAACTTTTGACATCCCAGAGGAGGCACAGGTACCTACGGTGGAAACAGTAGAGGTGGAGCACAATTTGTCGGATAGAGAGCGACAGGAATTAGTGCAGGTGATGAAAGGTTTTGAGTACACCCACAGCAATAAATTGGGACGGACGGTCCTCCTTGGAGGTGGCGCTTAAGCCGTCCATTAATCGAGCCAGGGAACGATTCAGAAGTCGGAAAACCGTTAGCCGCATTTTGCGCGCTACAAAGTTTCTGTTTCCGTCAATGATGGAAAGATGGTCGTGGCCTTCCAGATGGTGATGGTGAACAATTAATTTGGAATTCTCTCAGTACGCCGCGCTAGTGTACATGTGAACTTTCTGTACCTATAAGCTATATTTTGATAACCTGACCATCTAGGAAATTGGTGAGTTCGACAAACTTGTTCAAGTCAGCGACGCTTTTTGGATGGTAGACAAATTAGTTCACAATTTTCTCACTACGCGGTGCAAGTATGAATGTGAACTTTCAGTATGTGCTATCCCAAGAAACATTGCAAGCTTTATAAAGGTTTTATAGCATTCTACAAGTCTAAATCATGGTCTACAGAACCCTCATAATATATATGAAAACCAAAATCTTTACTTGGGATATCTTGAAAGCCCGACCATCTAGAAAGTTGTTGCTTTTGTTGGTAAGGTGACTAAGGATTTTCTGATGATTGACATACAAGTGCTGTGTAGTGAGATAATTGTGAACTTATGTTTCCTATCCAGAAGGTTTTAATCAACAGACACCTCTATGTCAGTGCGCAAATAACATTGACATTATAAAGGGACCACTGATATTAAAATTACTGCCGCAAATTTTTCATATATACACCAGCTAGAAAAATCATCAGTAATATTAAAACAATGTAATGGTTATACAAAAAAGATGATTTATTGAGATAAATGTAAGCTTTTCCACCTTTCCCTAGTGATATTCATTTGGATAGTAATGTCAAACCAGTATCGCCTATGCTTACTACGAATATCAGTATGGGAAGTGAAATTCCGTGCTAGGCCAATATCGTACGTCAATTGATATTATTGACAGCACGCAGCTCTGCTTAAGATATATTTTATATAGGAAATTGACTTGTACGTTAGCTCCGCATAGTTATATAATTTTGAACTACTTTTCTCTAACCAATCGACCTTGACCTACTATACAACTTTGCCGAAGACAGTAATCTTCTATATGTCCAGGATCATTTGATATTCCATGTGGTCGTCTTACCACAAATCAATACGAAACTAACGATTTTAAGTTGGCTCATTACTTGACTAGTCCATTGATCCCAAGCACATCTATAAGCATATCCCATTCCCGAATTAGAAGCTGTGTTTGTTTTAATATTCCTACGTTTCAAGGTGTGCTGCTGAGCGAAGGATTTGCAATATCTATGCATTCATAGGATCAACAGTTCAAAGAATAAATTAAAGATTGTACGTATCCTTATTGCGAAAGTGCCGCACTAGTCACGGTAGAAAGTGAATCAAGTTTACCGATTTTTTGATCGGCAAAAATCGTCAAAAATTAATCAAGTATTATTCTCTTAAGAAATACTATTGTGATAATTCGAATTCGAACGGCAAGCTTGAAAATAGATTCGAAGAGTTTTTAGAGATATTCGATGACATATTTAACCATGTTTCAAAGTTGTTGCAATTTATTACAATCCTTAGCAGGCACTCAAAACAACGTTGGAAAACACCCCTGTACCTGCTAATTAATATATACTTCTGCAAGAGATGAAGCACAAAGTCGTTCATTCATTGTGCCTTGTATCCAACCAGCATGTATCGTAAAATGATTGTATCACCACACCACACACCATCAACCTGACCGTGAAAGCATTGTGTCACTTAAGATCGTGCCCATACCCAATATGATGGAACGTGCGGAAGATCTTCCTCTCTCGCTTTGTGTCTTCTCGCTTCGTTTAAGTCGTTTGTTTGGGGTGGAGCCGTTCGTTGCGTAGGTAACGTTGAAACCGGCTACGTGATCAACTTGCTAAAATGCAAACGCCAACAATAGGGGCTAGGTTGAATTTGTCAACCTGATTAGATGCTTGGTTGGCCGACTTGGAATTTCGGCAAAAGGTGCACGGTCGTTCCACTTTGAGAGCTACGGTTGGTTGCATAAGCGTTCCAACAACAACGACACAGAATCAAAACTGCGGCTTGGATGCTGTTGCTGCGAACTCGATCAGTCTCCCCGAATTTAAACTTGCATTAGGAAATGGTTTGGGGTGGAAGGAGGTGTTTCGTCGTCAGCCGGTATTTTTGGGCAACGTTTTTCGTTTCTCGTTGATGGATGTTAGTATGGCTGTTGTATGTGTATATAAGATTTAAAACTAATTTAACGGGTGTTGTGAAATGTATACTGATTTGATTGCATTTTTGCTCAAAAGGAGAGTGTGGAAACTTGTTGGAAGGTTAGTTTATTCCAAATTTCGAAGAACAGTTAGCTAATAATTACCAGTTATAAGAATCACTTCCTTGGCATCCATTTCTGTGATTTATTTGTCCTGATATATGTCACTAGTTATACCCTTTATTACACATTCACAATGCAATTGCAGTTCCTTGATAAATTCTCGATAACAAGCACTCTTAAATATGACTTAAACTCATTTATGATACCATTTTTCACCAGAATAATCATTCATAACTTCCAGCTTTGCAAACAGGTCATTCACACAGTCCGTTCTTGTTCTTTCGATAACACACAAACAACTTCTGCTCTGGTGGCACAGTGAACCGAAACTGAACTCCCGAAATCACGTTTTTGGAGCGTCTTCTGCGTCGTTACTCAGCCCAAAACTCGATCTCTTGTTATGGCGACAATATCTTTCCCTTTGAAGTAGCTCCCTAGGAAACGGAGCGTACGATCGCGATCACTTCTTAGCAACGACTAAATGGCTTAAGTCTACAAGTGGCAAGGTCCAGCAGATCTTGCTTTTGCTTTTTATTTTATTTCGTAGTGACCTATCATTGATCAACCACCATCATCATCGTCTGATCAACGGTGTGCTGCGCAGTCAAAATACAAACCATGCCACAACTTTCGGTGCCTTTGGTTGGTGATATGACGTAAGAATCACCTAATACATGATCAAAACTTTTCTAGACCTCACTCCTTCCCCAGAAAATGCTACGCAAGATATGCATGGTCCCTTAAACGTTTATTGATCAATGAAGGGCATAGTAACTTCGCATATTTAATTACGAAAGAAGTGCATGACAGGGCAAAGTGCAACAGTGCCCTTCGGGAGGTCTCTGAACTAGGAGGTGCACTGAGCATCTTATGGAAAAAACAAACAGATATAAGAAAGGCGACACGACTGGTTGAAAGCTATTGCACTCTTCCAGATTTCAACGGTTGACCTTGACTTGAGGTTGTAATGATTACTTCGTGCTATGTCGGGTTGAAAGATTGCAGCAAGAGAAAATAGTCGATGCGAGTTCCTGTTGATGCAGGCGGTACTGTCTTCAGAAGTTAGGGTAGTTCTTATAGCTCCAATATTTGACCCTGGTGGGTAAATTTAGCAAATAATGGATTGATTTTAAAGGGAAAAAAATCGGTCGATGATTTCTGAGGTTAGGCAGTTTAGCATTATTGCTTCACTACTGAGTTGTTTTTTTTTAACCAAACGGCTAACAATGGGACATTTTGAATCTCGATGTATTGCGTAAAATGTAAAACAAAATATATTGACGTGATCGTCGAGTTAGGGATGTAAAGAGATTAAAGCGGCCTGGATTTTTCATCGAGTTAGTGAGATTATCGAGTAAGGAAAAGTTGACTGTAGTTACAAAACACAAAGTATTTTAATTTTCGACGTTATTTCATCAATTAAAGCGTGCACTAATTGACACTTCTTAGCGTAAAGTGGGATGATTTTGATCTTATTTGTAAGTGGTTTTGCATATTGTGTACACATCACATAGGGTGGATGTACCAGTTATGGTTTGTGCACCAGTTAGTTAGGCCCTACTCTATAGAAACTCCATGTGCCATAACTGGTTTTTTTTTTAATAGTGCTAGTATGTTACTAATATTCCTCTTCTACGTGTTCTGAGGTATGAAAATAACAGTTTTATTACACTTTTGATGTATTATTTACTTTACTTTTGATGATCTACTGAAAAAGTTGAGTATAGTGAGTTACTAGAATCGATGCCATAGTCATTCTATACCCAAACTAAAAATGAATTGCATTGAATGTTAGTTGCATTTCCTGTCATCCTCAGCAGCGATTATCGCAGCGAATGATATAAGTTGACCTTGCAGATGATGAGGTTTGCTTCTACTCACCTAAAATATTTTGTACTTGTAAGTTAAAAAAAAGAGGTTGCAAAGTATGTGTTTGACACATGAAACCTGTCAATTTTGCTTTCAGAGTGTCACAATCAGCGATTTTATGCTTCGTGAGCCTTGACTCAGAGTGAGCACTCGTGAGTCGTAAAATCGCTGGTTGTGACTATTTGAATGCTAATTTAACAGGTTTTATGTTTCAAACACTTGCCTGTCAACCTATTCTTGTATCTAACGAGAAAAAATATCGTTATAACATATAATGATTTCAAAATTCCGAAAATCATTTTTTTATAGCAAACGAGTGGAAGCAAGCCTGCAGACGATGTAATGATGGTTTATCTTTTTTATTTCGTGTTCTGTCTACGCTTTCAACTATACAAGCAAGCATTTATAACATTGTAGAACAACGCACAACGTAGAACGGGTGTGGCCAGATTCACCTTACGGTCCATGGCATGTTTTTTTTTTTATTATTATAGGTACTTTAACGCTCTTGGGTCATTCGTGACGGAGGTGAGATTTGAACTCGTGACTTTGGCGTGAGAGGTATGGATGCTAACCACAACGCTGTGGTCGCCCCCTACCATGCCATGATTGGGGTTGGTAATACCGGCCCATTTTTCCTAAAACCGGTTTTACGATATTGAAAATTCTAATACCGGTAAAACCGGTATTTGGACGAAGTTCTAAAAGAAATAAAAAGCTGCATAATTTGTATAAAAAGCGTTTATTGGTCAACGATTGAAGAAAAAAATTTACTATTCAAAGCTTGGCCTGTTCGTTAAAATAACCTTTGAGAACGCAAAGAGCGTTTATCGTATTATCTCCCAAACGAGAACGGAGCTTAGTGACAATGTTTCCGGATACCGAAAATACTCGTTCAGACTCCACTGATGTAGGACGTACAGTGCAAAGGGCATCGTAAATGATCTTCATGTATTTGCCTTTCAAACTCTCTGCATCGTAGTAGGCGAACTCTTGTCGAACAACTTTGGTCAAACTGTTTGCTGACGTTGACGTTGAGCCAGAACTAAAAAGCTGCAAACTTCGACTGCTGCAACCGTCTTTCAAATTTTTCCTTCACGGTCAAACCATCGTTCTCTGCATCAGCTGCATCATCTAGTCGATTGAGTTCCTCTCTTCGCTCGATCTCTGCATTCATTCCGTTCCCTTCCAAATCAATCAAACGATGTAGCATTTCAATCGACTGCTTTATCAAAGCAGTCCGCGAGGTCTTGAAAAATATTCCAAAGTCATTTGTCATTGTATCGCGGACAGAGCGGTTGCTCATAAATGCAAACAAATCTGAAATTCTTCCAACAAGAGACTCGAGGAGCTGTTTCGCGATATTTGAAGTTTGTTCCGAGAGCTGCTCTAGCATAAAGTGTAAGCCCATATCGGCTTCATAGATCGTATAATCCTTACGGCACAGCAGTTCAACAGAAGCCAGAACTGGTTCCAGCGCTTCAACAATTGTTTTGATTGTTATCAGTCGTTCTTCGCTAAAACTAATCTTGTTCTTGGTTTTCAGATCGAGCAGGGATTTTTGAACCGCAGTCACATTGCCAGCAGGCTATTCCATCTTGTTCTCCAGTCAGCAAGCAAACTTATTTCTTCTCCGTGGTCTGCTGTGACATTTTTCTGGAGTACTTCGTCATTTTTCACTGGAGATTTTCTGAAGAGCTTCACTGTATCTCGTACTTTTTTCACCGTTGTACAGTATTCGGGCATAATTGTGTGTTCGTCGTGGTCTGTATTGTCAATCGTGAAAAAATCGGCGTTTTTATCATCGTATCTGTGTCAGTATCACAGTCTGAACCTATAAATTGAATAATGAGGATCATAGTTTTACTAAAATTTTAAGCTAAATTACCTGTGCTCTCTCCGAATTCCATGTAGGCGGCCGGCTTAGATACTTTCTTGTACAAAACGTCGATTACTGCTAGGTGTATTCCATGAGCTAAACATACCTAATGCGTAGCGGGGGCCTCGTTGCCAACTTTTGTCATCACCGACGCTCCATCTGTTGTGATAGCCATCACGTCCTTCTCCAGTGATATTCCATACTGTTCCGTTTTCGATGAAAGTAGCTCAGCGCTCCGCGTTCATGGATCCATCTACTCTTTGCAGGCCTAGGTTCCACGCTTGGTTGGCAGCATGAGCATTTCCATTCATGTAACGTCGATTCCTGTTGGATGTCCACTCGTCAAACGTGAGACTTAGTTTCCTTCCATCCTTTTTTATGTCGTCGAATTCCTTCCGGTATTCGTTGACGACCTTCTCAAAAAACATTTCCACTCGATGCCTTATTCCTTGGTGAGTTCGTGGGATGTCGCTGAAACCACGGACAACTAACCCTTGCCTTATGTCCTCCGATTTACATATTGTGTGGAATTTCCGTCCTTAGCAGATAGTCAAGCAAGAACAGCATCGATAGGGCAAGCCTTTAAAAAATATTGAACGATGGTTCTCTTTTTCGCACTGGATCCGGATGTTGATGCAATTTGCTCAGATGTTTCAGACGGGGCAGATGCATTTCGTTTGGCCAATATTATTTCATGTTGTGTTCGGAGATGCACAATTAATCCACTTGTGCTAGAACCTTCACACTTGATAACTTTATTGCACTTGACACATTTTGCAATTTCTCTGTTCTGTTTTCCTCTTAAGAAATAGTTCCAGGCAGAATATTCTGGCACTCCTGGCTTCTCCTTTTCTTCAAAATCCATTTTGTAATATTGTTCTCACGGAATTGGTTCAAAATCAATGTTTGACGCTGCTTGCCAACTTGTCATCGAAAACGACTACTACACGACTGTGCAATTTTAACCCGAAACATATTCAATCATTCATGCCGTCTCTCTCATTCATACAGATTCATTGACCAGACCAATAATGACGTTCGTGAGTTATTCGTGTCATCAGAGCTTAACAAACCTTAAGTTCCACCTCTCTCGGTACACGCTAACATCATTTTACTCAGACGATTCAAAGAGATTACCCAGATTGGGCATAAAGCGGACTTGGTGGTGTAGTTTAGCCAATTTGGTTAACATGTTCAAAATTAAGAGAGCTGTTTAAATTGATTATACTTTTGCAATAAAACAACCGGTATTTCGGTATTGAAAAACAGCACGGTAATACCGGTAAAACTGGTTTCGGTAAAACCGGTTAACCAACCCTAGCCATGATGTCTTT